CACACACATATAAGCTCATATCTGACTTTCTAGCTAACAGGGGGGCAGGTGAGTATAAAGTCTGGGACTAAACACTTCCGGGGAGTTCTTACAAATCTGAGCATGATCCCGGATGCCAGCTGGAGAGAGCGTCCGTCCTTCCTAATCTAAAGATCCCCACATGAACTTGACAATCCCAGCATCGCATGGCCCTGAACAGAGCCTGCCCAACTGCCTTGCTTGTCTGACACCCCTGCCCCAGCCGAGGCGGCCACCCCCAGCCCCCACGGATGCAAGTCCCTCTTCTCTCCTTAGACCCAGCCCTACTGCCCCCTGGGTTCCCCTGCAGCCTCCAGCCCTCACCTGCTGGGGACCGGAGGACTTTCATGCTCCAGGATTTACCTCGGTGTCTGCCGTCCACTTGTGTAGGTAAACATTCTTGGTGCTTGTGTATCTAATTTCATGGGTTCTCCTCCACCCCAGACCCAACAGACAGCTTTCTGGTCACATCCCTACTGCATCTACCTGGGGCTGTCACGGGAGCAAAGGCCGTGGAAGACGTGGGGTTCTTGTCTTCACGCAAGAAAGAATTCAGGAGTAAAGTAATAGGTTTTCCTGGGGTCAGAGCATCCGTCCGAACAGAAGGGACAGATCCAGAGTACCCAGCCACTGGGACTGGGGGAGAGCGAGGTTCCATGGTTGAGTGGAGAGAACACACCTGGGCAGGCCAGGCAGGCGGCTCGGCTCGGCAGAGAGCAGACGGCTGAGCGCGCAGTCTGTTTGGACCCTGTTTTTAAGGGAGTCTCTCCACCCCCTCCCGCTCTCCTCCAGGACACAGGATGGGAGCCCTGGTGAGAGGGTTCCTTGGGTGAAGATCAGCAGATTCCTCCCCAGCAGAGGAGCTCCCCTCAGGGTGCCTGAGAAGGTGTTATCAGGGCAAGGAACCCTTTTGGTCCTGAGGAGAGAGAATTCTCCTGGGAGGTCTCCATGGGGGCAGGGCTGGGGCCACCTGGAAGGTTACCAGTCTCTGAGCAGGACTTTGAAGTGCAAGATGCTGGGCTTCTGGGGCTTCCAAAGCAGGTGCTGGTTTCTTCAGGCCCCTCTTGCACACACATCGGCGAATTTTTAACTTCTTACCTGACAGGGCTAGCACAGGACTAGGTACCAAGAAGGTGTTTATCAAATGGTCATCATTGTTAGAGACATAAGGAGAGCCCTTAAGTCAGCTGCTGAGGGCTCTACTCTGGCTTTCCTCTGGCCTTAATCTCTGGAGAAGCTTTCAATACCTGATCACATCTCTGTGAGGAGAGCTTGGGGTAATGGACGGCCTGCTGCTTGGTGGTGGTGGCAGGAGAAGTGCAGGCGCAACATTTTCAAATCCAACTTGTCTTGACAACTCTGAAATCCAGGTTTCTTTTCTTTTTTTTTTTTTTAAAGATTGTATTATTTATTTGAGAGGTAGAGTTACAGACAGTGAGAAGAAGAGACAGAGAGAGAGGTCTTCCTTCCGTTGGTTCATTCCCTAAATGGCTGCAACAGCCGGAACTGCGCTGATCTGAAGCCAGGAGCCAGGAGCTTCTTCCAGGTCTCCCACATGGGTGCAGGGGCCCAAGGACTTGGGTCATCTTCTACTGCTTTCCCAGGCCATAGCAGAGAGCTGGATCAGAAGAGAGCAGCCAGGACTAGAACCGGCGCCCATATGGGATGCCGGCGCCACAGGTGGAGGATTAACCCACACTGCCACGACGCCAGCCCCTGAAATCCAGGTTTCTTAAAATGCTGGCCACCAACTTTAAAATGCCACCTGTGATGCCTGCACTGTGCAGTGCAGAGCCTGGTTTGAGTCCTGCCTCTGCTTTCCATCTGGTTTCTGCTGATGTTTGGCCTGGGAGGCAGTACACGATGGCTCAAGTGTTGGGCCCTTGCCCAGCTCTCTCGCTCGCTCTCTCTCTCGCTCTTCCCTCTCTCTCACTGCCTTTCAACCTTGAGAGCACAGGGAATCAACAGAACACAGCGTGGTAGGGGGATTGATGAACAGGGGAGCAGGCTCACGAGCAGACCGTGTCTGTGCAAGCTCAGTAGACCACAACAGTGGTACTCTGCTGGGGAGGGGATGAGCAGGTGCCTCGGTCAGTTCCAGCTGTGGTAACAAAATGCCACAAGCTGGGCTGCTTGTAGACAACAGAAGTCAGTGTCTCGGAGCCTGTGCTGTGGCGTACTAGGTTAAGCTTCTGCCTGCATTACCGGCATTCCATATGGGTGCTGGTTCAAGTCCCAGCTGCTCCACTTCTGATCCAGCTCCCTGCTGGTGGCCTGGAAGGCAGTGAAGGATGGCCCAAGCATCCACATGGAGTACCCAGAAGGAGCTCCTGGCTTTGGATCAGCCCAGTGCTGGCCTTTGTGGCCATCTGGGGAGTGAACCAGCAGATGGAAGATCTCTCTCTCTGTCTCAATAAATAATTTTTTTTTGGTAAAGAAATCAGCATCTCATGGTTCTGGATGCTACCGTTGAGAATTGGAATGCCGGCATGTTTGAGTGCTGGTGAGGTCCCTCTTCCAGGCTGCACGCTGTGTCTCCCCAGAGGGGAAAGAGCAGGAGCTCTCTCTGGGGCCACTTGGAGAAGGGCACTGATCCCGCCCCCAAGGGCTCCAGGGGAGGCCTCATGGTCTAACCAGCTCTCCCCCTCCCCCAACTCTACCTCCCAACAGCATCATCTGGGGCGCTGCTATTGTCATACAGGAATTGTGAGGGGCCACAGACATTCAGTCCACTGCTCAGGGAAAATACGGTTTGGGGAAACCTGATTCACAGATGGAAAAAACCTGGGCTTGCCCACATCCCAGTCAGATCAAAGACCTGAGCATGGAAGCACAACTATCCAGAAAGCTGCCATGGGCGGGAGGGAAGGGGGCTCAAAGCAAGACCCCCAAATCAGACTCTGAGTCAAAAGAACAAAGGATCTGAGCACATTTTCCTTAAGGGCTGTACTTCCAGATGAGGAAAGACACCACGGGCAAAGTTACCAGTGACCAACTGGGGGAAAACACTGGCAACAGTCTGAAACAGGTGAGTGGTCAATACCAAGCAAAGCAAAAGAATTCTTGTACATCTCAAGAAAGCCAGAAACAGAAAAATGACTGGGAAAATGGGGAAGGCTATGAAAAGGAAATTTTGGGAAGAGGAACCCTCAGAAGTTAACACACTTTTAAAAAGATTTGTTTATTTGAAAGGCAGAGTTACAGAGAGAGGTAGAGACAGAGATAGAGGTCTTCCATCTGCTGGTTTGCTCCCCAAAGGGCCACAATGACCAGGGCTCGGCCAGGCTGAAGCCAGAAGCTTCTTCTGGGTCTCCCACATGGGTGCAGGGGTGCAAGCACTTGGGCCATCCTCTGCCGCTTTCTCAGGTGCATTAGCAGGGAACTGGATCAGAAGTGGAGCAGCTGGGAATTGAACTGGTGCCCATGTGGGATGCTGGTGCAGCAGGCTGGGGCTTTAACCCGCTGCACCACGGCACCGGTCCTGGTTAAAGCATTCTTTAGGGGTGCTCACCTGTCAGTCAAAGGCGAGTAGCAACAACAAACCCGCCTAATGAGCTGTGCCTGTCAGATTTCCCAGCTTTGCAAGTTTTGCCTACAACAGTTATCAGCAAAGCTGTGGGAGAAGGGGAGTGCTTGTACGGCGTGCCGTTCTAGGAGCAGTATGTGTACACTAGCGCCCAGGACAACATGAGTGGCAGTGTAGACTCGCACAGCCACTCCGGAGTGCTCCTTGGAAGCATTTACTGAAACCAAATTTGCACGCCTCTTTGAGCACTGTAATTCCAGCTCCCCGGTATGCAGCCAGGGGAATACTTGCACCGATCCCTGCCTCCGCGTGGTGTAATTACCCACGGCGCCTTTCTGAGTGTCCTGACCTGGACCATCCGTCCTCGGCAACCCTCAGCGTCAGGTGGCGTCATCGCTGTGTTGCTGCAGCCACACAGCACGGGTGCCGACAGAACGGAATGGGGAGAGTGTCATGTGTGGACGTGTAACCTGTGAAACAGCACGTGCCAGGGGCAGCAGTGTGCTGGGCGGCCCAGACACCTGCAGGCTGAGCTAGCACGTGAAGGTTACCTTGGATTGCATCAGCGGTGGCGTAGTGGCCGTTGCTAAGGTCACTGCAGCCTCTGCAGCCATGCAGAGCTGGGGAGCTGCTCCACGGCCCTTCCTGCAGGGGTGGGACTGTTTCCCTAGTTACCTGGGTCCTTGATGGTCTGACACCCCCTTCCCCCGACCCCGTTATCAAAGACAATGGCCTCCAAGGTGCTTGGACAACAGGCATTTTTATGACTCTTGTTAAGGTGTGAGCCCCCTTAACCCATGCACACGAAGTCAGACTTGATCTGAGCTCTTGGAGTCATCGCCAGGCTCCCTCTGGAGGGCCCTAACCAGCTCAGGGAACTCTCAACACCTCTCTGAGCTGCACAGGAGTGTGTCTTTACTGGCCAAGAGCTCTCACCCACCGGAGCCCTGCTTGAGGGCTGGAATGGTGACACCTGGGCGCGTGTTCCGCCAAAGCGCACGGAGGTCGGAGGTCAGACAAGGGGCCCTGGGCGGCTGCACCTGGACTCTCCCTCCTGGGACTCCTGGTGCTGCCTAATGAGGTGTTTGCCGGGGTCCTGTCCCTGTCGGAGCCAGCCGAGCTCCCAAAGACCCCAAGGGCTGGCTTGAGATACGGAACCGCCCGCCTCCCAGGTTGGCACCTTTGCGGCTCCCAGGGCGGATGCGGCACCCACGGAAGCCGCTGCTGTCACGCGGGGAAAGACGCTTCTCCTATCCACCGGCCTTCTCCGGAGAGTGGGGGCCCCAGCCTTCTGCACACAGCACAGGTTGGGGTGGCTCCGGGGACGCGCCCGGCGGCTCTGCTCCGGGTCCCAGCCGCGTCACGGGGGATGCGTGGCGTTTTTCTCCGCCTGCTTGGATTCCATCGCGGCTGCTGCCGCCGCCGCTGGCAGGCGGTTAGGGCTCCCGCGGCTGGCACTTCCTGAGCTGTGGGCACGAAGAGGTTACAGCGGGCCCGGAGCGCGCTGAGCTGAGCGAGCGCTTCCCTCTGCATCCAGGATCTCCTCTCCAAGTAGCGGCCCTCCGGCTCGCGGCGCTGGGGGCGGCGGCGGCAGCTGGGGGCGCCTGCACTGCGTCGCGCTGGGCGCCCCCACGGCCCCGCGAGGAAGGGGCAGGAGCCGGAAGGCGAAGGTATCCGTGGCGGCGGAGTGAAGGAAGAACCAGGGTCTCCGGGCGGACGCCCCCCGCTGCAGCCCGCGGCCCCCGACGCTCTGGACCCAGGCCCGCGGCGCGGGAACCAGAGAGCTGCGAGCGGGCGCTGGGAGCAGCGGGGCGGCGCCTGCGAGGCCAGTTCCCCCGGGAGGGAGCCGGGGGCAGCCTCTCGCTCCCGGCCTGGCTCCCAGGAAAGGAGCCGCAGCTGGCCCTGGACCTCAGCCGGGGGCTGACAGCTCCTGTGGACTCTGTCCCTTCCAGGTGACCCCAGGAGAGGCAGACTCGGGGTGGGGAGGGGGCTGCGAGCAAGTGCCCCTCACCCTTGCTGGACAAGCCGAAACAACCACTGTGGCTTCTCCGGTGCACCCCACCGGTGCTGCTGGAGCCACGGTCATTTCTACCCCGACTGGTGTTTGCGCGAGTGAGGAGAGGAAGAGGCACCGTCAACTGCACAGCCTCAGGCCAGCAGTTCCTGAGCCAACCCCGGAGTCCTGTCCTGGGACCCTTTAAGGTGCTGACAGCTGCCATAGGGCCAGCACCTGAGAGCGCGGCAGAGCCATGGAGTCCACAGTGGCCACGTCCGGGTCTGCCGCAGGCCCCGTCACCTTCTCCCACGTCTTCGGTCAGCAGTGCCAGCTTATGGAAGCAGGTAGGAGCTGTCGTGCGTGCTGTCCCCTTTCCTCCTGCCTGCTTCGTCTCTTTCTTGATTTAATTTGGGGAGCGAGGCTCGACCAGCCAGAGACGTGGCAATAATAAAGTTTCTAGAACTTGTCGTGGGCCTGAGCGCACCGCTGGGGCGCCGTGACAGGGGGTTCACCCTGCTTTTGTCTTTTGCCGGCTGTTTGGTGTCTGGTGAGCTGGAGGAAGAGGAGGGTGCCTCAGGAGGGGTCTGATGATGCGATTGTGGCCGTCTGTCCAGGCAGGCGCTGGTCTGTCCATCTGCCTCCTGCTGCTTCTGGGTTACGCTGGGGCCTCGCTGGCGGCTGCTGGAGTAGCAGAGGCACCCTGAAGTCTTCCCCGGGCCGCTCCGAGCATCGCCTGCCGGCTCCTGCCTCGCGGTGTGGCTTCCTCATTAGTCTCCACCCGTGGGTTTGTCTTGCGAATGGCTCGTGCTCTCTACAGAAGGGAAAAGTTGCCGAGTGGTGCCGGCCATCTTGCTGGGATGCGCATCTGGTCACAGAGCCAGGTGTGGGCGTGTGGCTCGGGGCTCTGGGACTGAGCCCACATGTGCGTAAGGTGCCTGCTTCCCGGCCTTTCTGGAGCTCATCGCGGTCGCAAAGGCCCGAGTGTTCCTCCGGCAGGTGTTAAGTGTTAGTGGTGCATTTTGGCTCTGCGTCTCAGGGAGGTGAGGAGAAGAGCAGTGTCTTGGGAGTCTGGGGGCCTGGGCCGGGGTCATCTGACTGTGGAAGTTGCAGACCCCACCCCCTTCCCTAGGGTGTCCTCAGGCTGCAGAGTGAGAGACGTGGCCTGGGGGCTGCACGGTCTGTGCAGGCCCTCGGTGCTGTGAGCCCAGGGGAGCATGGCTCCTGGGGGTGACAGGCTGAGCTGGCTTCTTAGACGGGATGTGTCCGCCCCCCCGGGGGCAGCTGGAGGAGAAGGTGAGTGATGGCTGTGGAGCCGGACTTGGCTGGGTTTGGGTCCCAGCTTCACTTGCAAGCTGTGTGGCCTCAGGCCAGTGGCTTAGCCTCTCTGCACGTTGCATTGGTCCTTGGTGGAGTGGTGATGGTAGCCGCCGCTATGGCAAAGCCGGGATAAGCTTGGGTGGTGGTCAGGCCTCTGAGGAGAGGCACCTTAGACGCTTTTAGGATGGAAGGTGGGCACTCTGAACTCCCCTACCCACGCCTGCGGCCTGCGAACCTCTCGCACTCTGGGCACAGTGTTTTATCTGGAGAGGCTTAGGTTCCATTCTGCAAAGGGGCAGAGCTCGGAGGCCCTGGGCTTGGGCTCCCGGCACAGTTCTCCTCCCCTGGGGTTGCTGGGTGAAGGCAGACTGGCTTTCTAGAATGCCTCCCCTGTGGCTTCATTCTCTTCCCTTTGGAAGCACCCGGGCCTAAATCAGGCCATGAAACGCACACGCACACACACACACACACACACTCTCTCTCTCTCTCTCTTTTAAACCCATCCTTTATGTCAAGAGAGCAATACAGTGTGGAAGAATGATGCCCAGTGGTCTCCAGGGAGAGCACGCTCCCAGAAGACGCGCAGAGGAATATTAACCTCGAAGTCCAGAGAGCGTGCTCCCGGGGGAGGCGGAAGGGATGGGGCACAAGCTCTGAGCCCTGTGTACCCCAGCGAGCACCCAAAGGAGCCCTCTGGTAGTGCAGGTAGTGATCCTGCATACTCATTGAGGACCTACTGTGTGCTCTGCACAGTGCCAGGAGCCACTGGCTCTGGGGATGGAGAGTCCCTTACAGCTTGTCCAGTGTGAGTCCAGCTAAGGAAATGACACGTGATGTGACCCTTCCTGTGTGCTTCACTTACATGTGTTTGTGTCATTCATGCAGATTAACCAATTTCCACGGGCAAAGCAAACACGCAGGGCTGCCTGCACACCCACCACGTTCACGCCACTCAGGAAGGTAAACCGTGGTCTGAGCTCTCGACTCCCGAAGTGTGTGGTCCCTGACGCTGATTGGGTTCATCTTTTGCATCTGTGTACATCTCATGCCTTAGGAGAGGCTGGGTCATGGCAGTGCAGCAGTGGGTGCCTAATGAGGGGTGGGTGGGAGGGGGGTGAGCACTGGGGGACACCTGGCTTGGCCATTGTTAAGACAGATCAAAACTCTGACCCGGTTGGCAGCAGTGGGACCATGGAGGGATGAGGATGGGGTTCTGTCTCATTCAGAGCCACCTCTGCTGTTGCTGACTGTGTGGGCTTCATAAACGCGAGAGCCCTTGACCAGCGATTGGCAAACGACAGTCCCGGGAAAGAATGTGGCCCACTACTTTTGTAAATAAAGTTTTATTGACACACAGCCATCCCTCATTCCTGTACATTTGTCTGTGGTTGCTTTTGTACTACAGTGGTGAAGTTGAGTAGTTGGGACCAAGACCAGATGGCCTCTAAAGCTGAAGAGATTTTAAAAATTCATTTATGTGAGAGAGAGTGAGCAAGCTCCCATCTGCTAGGTCACTTCCCACAGGCCTGCCACAGATGGTTGGGCCAGGAAGTCAGTCCCGGTCTCCTGCATGGGGAGCAGGGCCCCAGCTACTTGAGTTGTGGCCTGCTGCCTCCCAGAGTCTGCAGGAAGCCAGGATTGAGAATGGAGCCATAACTTGAACCCGGGCATATAATACGGGATGTGGCTGTCCAAGCAAGGTCTATGCCAAATAGACCTTGGCCCATGCAAATGTTTAGCTCCTGGCTCCCTGCAGGTGAGCCCTACCCTAGAGCCATAGACAGAGCACAGACTGGTGGACAGCATAGCTCGGGGTGGTGTCCATGGCTCATGGCTGAGTCTGGCTCCTGCTGATGCTTCCTCGTCGGTGCCTTTGATGGTTCTTGGTACCTGGGCTTTCTCGCCCCTCACCTGCAGCCCCCCATGTCACCTTGCACATGCGTGCCAGGGGTTGCTTCAGGAAGCATTTGTGAGATCAGGAGCCCCCACCTGCGCCCAGATCGACAGGCCCCGAGCTGGACAAGGTCACTGCTGTCCCATCTTCACAGCCACCCTGCAGGTGGTGCAGTTCCTAAGTGACGAGCCGTCATTGGCCCAGCTGGGCCTGACCCCAAAGCCTGTCCCTGAAGAAGGCGTTCTACAAATCCTGCAGAGGGTTCTACACCTGTGTGTGGTGTGGCTCAAGGATGTGGAGACAGCAGGCTTCTGGCCCTTTCCGTGGCTTGGCTGCTGTCACCCCCATCCCCACCCCCACCCCATTCTCCATGGTCCTAATCCCTGTCTTGAATGGTTGGCCCTATAAAGAAGTCAATCTTGTTCTATCTCCAACCCCAGCCCCAATTTCTTCTCCTTCCTGTTGTCCCATCATAGCCCCAAATGGCAGGGTGTGACCTGTGGCGGCTGGCATTCCCCAGGCTTCCAGCCTGATCCCCTGCAGGTGGGGGCTGGGGCCGCCCTCCCAGGCAGGGCTTTGCTGTTGCTGCAGTGGTTTCTGATGCCTTACAGGGGTGCTGGGAGGAACAGCCCGGGGCAGGGGGCAGGAGGGAGGGGTGCAGCAGCCAGACTCGAGCTGCTGTCCCATGGCCCTCAGAGGAGCAGAGAAAGGCCCCTCCTCCGTCTTCTCCCGGGCTGCCCGAGTGTTTGGCGAGGCGCCCCTCCGACCTGGTGCTTGGTTGCATCTCCGCTGTGGGCTCTGACTCATTCCTTGGCCTGGATGTCTTCTGGGTGGGTGACCCCAGGGCGCTTCCTCTCTTGGGTCAGGCTCTGGTTTTGCTACACTGCCCCTGGGTCACTCGAGTTGATCCCCGGTCTGTCTCATTTGGACAGAAAGCATTTCAGCGGGGTTGCTTTGCTAGAGCAGAATCACTCATGTCATTCACACATGCCCCTCCCACGTGTCTGCTGAGGTTGCATGGGTCCAGGCCCGGCTCGGGAGAGAGAGGCAGAGAGGAGGGGAAGGGAAGGGAAGGGCTTCAGCACCTGCACTGCTGGTGCTCTGCTCCGTTCCTGGGTTGCAGCTGAGAAGCCACGTGAGACCCCTCACTATCAAGGTTGGCTAACGGGTGGTCCCGTGTCCTGCACCCGTGGACACGCACACGAATGCAAGCCTCACGTGCACCTGTCTCAGCTGTCCTGCTGGTACCCGGAGCCAGGCTTGGTCGCCTTGTGACTTCATTATCTTGCTTCTTCTGAAGGCTGCCAGCTACAGCCCTGCCGTTAGGGACATGCAGGGGTCTTTCTGAATACGTGGCCTGCATGTGTGCATGTGGGAGCCACTTGCCAAATCTGTGACCAGGAAGGGAGCGAGCTAACATCTGTGGCATCTGTGTGAGCTGAGCGCATCAGGGGCTTCTGCCAGAGTGCGACAGAGGAAGACGAGCAAAGAAGAAAGGGTGCTCCCCCGGGCTCCGGCCAGGCAGGGCCGTGGTGTGAAGGCTCCCTGCAGATCTGTGCCTCTGGCCTGCCTGTTTCCCCCGTGGGGACAGCCTGCGTTTCCACTCCACATACTGCCCATGGTCGTGCACACTAGAGCTAACACCCGCTGAGTGCTGTTCCGGAGTGGTCAGGGTGCTAAGTGCTTTCCTGTCTCCCCCTCGAAAGGCAAGCAAAGTCACCCCAGGCAAGCACTGTCACCCCATTTTGCAGGTGAAGAAACTGAGGCCCAACTGGGAAGGATTTCCCTTCACTGGTTAGTTGGTGGCTGGGCCAGGCTTCACACCTCTTCCTTCTGCACACCTCTCCAGAAAGTCAACTCCAGAGGTGCTGGCTGACTTCCACAGTTGACAGATGTTGGCTGAATGCATGTGGAACCTGTCGTCCTGGGCTCACGGCGTCTCTTGGGATGAGTTGTGCTGTGTTGTGATTTCTGCGTGTGAGACTGAGCTTCCCGGGGTCAGGAGCCGTCAGCCGGGTCATCCCTGGGTCCTCCAAACCTCCCCGGTGCTGGCAGCCTCGCGGCTTTCACGGGTGAGGTGCTGCCATGTGTCGCCCACCTGATCGCCAAGCCTTTTTGCAGGATGACCGGCGG